TGGAAGCACTGTCTGACGCGTCTGCCTCCGCGACCCGAAAGGAGAAGCGGCGACGGAAGATGAAGATGATTAGGTTGCGATGCCTGCTAAAAAAGACTCTGTATGGATGTACAGTTTCGTCCGCAAAAACTGACAGCCACCATTTCAGGCTCTCCATGTTTCTGAAAGGAAAGCATGCGGTTTCCATCGAAGGTTATAAATATAGCGTTTAAACGTTCCAAACGGGTTCTACAGGTCTTAAGGTCGAAAAAATCCCTTTAGCAAGATGCAGATATGCATCAGCGTCAAAGCTATTTTTGACGAAATCTTATGAATTATGGTGGATGTAAGATGGCCATCCACGACGTGAAATGCGACAACTTCTTAGACAGTGTGAAGAGGAAGCACGAGTCTTCGAAATCACTAGATTTTGTCAGCGGCAAAATAGATTCTAGAAAAGGTAATGTTGAACTAAACTTTAACGCTTGGCAGCATACATCTCGTAAACAAGAGGAATCTCAAAGTGACTATGACTAAAATGAGTGTGGGAAGATAGTGAACGCTGCAAAATAGGAAAAAGAGTAATTAAAAGCTTTCTACGGTGTGCCTGTCGGTTCGTCCTAAAAATTCTTTGAAGGCGCTGTTTGCTGTACCCCGCGTTTTCAGGGGTCTTATTTGAAGGGCAAAGACCATAGGATTAAGTCAGGCACAACGTGTAGATTTCCATTTCCCTTGTAAACTCAGTGGCACTCTACCTCGGCAGGAAAATAGAAGAACGAACAAGGTCGGTAGCAGGGCTTCAACCAATGTCCTTCGACCATGAGTCGGATTGCGGACAAAAAAACGTTTGCCCATCAATATCAAAAACGGTTAACGGATGAAACTGTTAACGTTATAAAGGCCAATCAAAGTTGATGCATTCGGACTTCATAGCTTAATGCAGCGCACACAGATCTAACCCGCTACATGCATGATAATCTCTCTCTTTCATCATGGTCATAGTTCCATGAAATGAGCGGCATTAGGGGAACACATGGTGATGCTACTCTTTTGCTAAAAAATGGAAGCCATCCAGCACGAACCATCACCACTGACATTTTCGATGTTGGTTGTTGCTTAGTTGCTCAATCCTCGGAAAAGTACTGCCCCTGTTAACACAGACAACCGTCGCATTCGGATTCTAATGACCACCGTTTTGACTCAGCTCGTCGCTTCCTCTTAACATAGGCTTTTCGGTTGGTCGCTTGCAGCCGTCGATGAGTATCATATCAGTACGTCATCAATCAGTCAATCTGTCCGTTCGGACTAGCCTCGAAGTAGTCCATGCGCTTACCACGTTTTGTTCAGGGAAAATCGTCGCTAACCCACGCGTTGATTCGATATAAACGACGAAGGAAGAAAATGTAAACGTACCCAGAATGTTCACGATCGTACGAATTGCGTATCGGGTATGAGTCGAGCTTGTGAGTCAGATGCTCATGACAGCTACAACGATGATTATGATTAAGCCAATGACGATGAGGAGGAGGAGGAGGAGAAGGACGCCGACGAAAATCTACGTATGAGGTCGAATTCATTTTGCCATTTATTGCCTGTTACGTTGTAAGAAAACAGCATGATGGCAAATCTAATGGTTGCCAGTTGTCAACATTAGACATTAGCCAAGGTGAGGAGGACACGATGGACATTCGCAAAAAAGCACGTCGAACAAGCCGTTCTTGCGTACGGCGGTGCATTGCCCAATCTGCATGTCATATGGATGATTTCCGTGTCTGCCTTTTCTTCTTGCTGTGCACATTAAAAGAAAGTAGAGACAGAACCAGTTTCATTTCAACAGATGTCCGACAACCCAGGGCGAGAAATTGGTGCTTAGCGAAACTCCGAAAGTTTCCGTGAAGACGGTAGGCCAAAAAAGACGCATCTACAGTCGACTCTCGTAAGCAACTACAAAGGCACAGTACATTATCGTTTCGTATGCGAAAGACTGAAATCGTTGTACAGGCCATTAGTCATATACTCCTTATGGTAGTATGCATCACTGTATGGCACTGCAGTTAAATGTGCGTGAAAATCTGATCTACTAGCACAATTTCGAGGGTGACTCACCGCCGGTCGTGACGATGATGGACGGCGGTCCCAAAGGGGTAAGAAATCACCAGGGGCGCCGCTGGAATTCGTGGGCACTACTAGACACTTCTGGCACGTCTGTTTTATCCTCACTCACCAGCAACCCCAAAACCCATCCCACATAAAGCTGGTTGTTAATACCGGTATAATATGCTCCTATATGTGTGAGAAAAACGAGTCTGGTGGCATCGTTCAATGATGCATGTGCAGGCGGCCCATTACCCACGAAAAGCGGGCAATGAAATTTTCGACCTCGGTACTTCCGCCGAAAACTGCCTGAGTTCACCTGAGTTCGTGTGGTACATCCTCCAGTGTACAACCGAGGTTGGGCCGCTGCGTCGCAGACCAGAGGCTCAACGGCCACAGACCAGAGGTCCTCGAATCATGGAGTTCTTGAGAACAGTGACTCGATTTCTAGCTGTCTGCGTACGTCTGTCAACAACGTTCTTTGTCGAACTGGTGTCTGTGCGATTGTGAGTGAGTGCTGCATGACTCGTCAGAAAACGAGTTAAAAATATCTGAGAGGAGAGAAAGCAGGTC